AGCAGCATAGAGAAATCAAAGCAAATGACACAGAAACTGCTAGGAGAACAGAAATACAGAATTAGACTCAAGGTAGCATTCCTGTTAATATCAGAAAAAATAAATAAAACACAAGCGACGTGTATTTCCTGTCATCCTTCAGTATGAACCTGGGTTATAAAACTGGGAGGCAGTTATCAAAGTCATTTACAACACAAAGCTGAGAGTGGAAGGGTGGTTACCAGAGGCTGAATGGAACCAGAGGTGGGGAGGATGTGGGAGAGATTAATAACTGGGTACGGAATCATAGATTGGTACAAGAAGTTCTGGTGTGCTTTTGCACAGTCGAGTGACTACAGATGATAATGTACTATTTCAAAAATCCAGAAGAAAATATCCTGAATGCATTCACAGTAAAAAATAATAAATGTTTAAAGAGATGTTTCATCTGATTTAAACATTAAATAATGTGTACACATACTGATACATCACATGGAGCCCCATAAACATGTACAATTATGAGTTTATATGTCAGTTAAAAAATTAAGATATTAACTGAAAGGATAAAGGTCATTTATATGTTCTAAAGTAAATTCTCTAAGTAAAGAAATGTCAGTAAGAAGTCAGCCTAAAGTTTCTTTAAGCAGAAGGGAGTAGATCATTAAGATCATCTTTGCCAGTCCAAAGAGGACAGGCCATGAATTCTGTCACCCAAGCCAATTGTCAAGACCAGAGGCAAATCTGGAAATCCAGCTCAGGCTGTCCTGGGGCTTTCATAAAGTCCCCGAAAAGATGTAAACTTCATCACATAGGCTGGGATGAATTGGTCATTCGTGTGGTGTCAGTGGTGTAGCTGTTAAGGCAGAAACACAGGTGTTGGCATTAAGCAATTTAGTATTGTGGTGGAAATGTAATGGGACTGTAGGATGCGCAGAACTACAAAAATTGTAGAGGTTGGGCAGGAGAGTTGAGACTTTCTATCGGAGACCATAGTACCCTGGATCACCTAAAAATGATTACAAATACGAAGAAGGTTTTTTTAAAAAAATATGTTGATTAGAGGTAACATCGCAACATAGACATTGAATTATTTCCTAATCAAGAACCGGAACTGGGTATCCCCTGAGAAATCCCTGTTTAGAGACTTTTGGAATTAGTTCATGCATAAGGTAGATGATGACAGAGTCACAGACTAGGGATTCTGTGAGGTAAATGTGAAACTTTTATTTTAACTGTCCTCTTTCAATATTAGTTCAACTGGAATTTGGCCAAGTTTGAAAAAGTGAAAGCTATTTTTACCTTACTGCCTTGAGATAGTGTTTACTACTTTTCCTTTAAATATTGTACTCTAGGATTGAATATTGTTTGTAACCCTCTAGGTTCCTGTTTTTTTATATTCATTTAATAAAGCCATGAGGTAATAATACGCAGTCAAAGAAGACTGCGTATTATTGCACTTGACAATAGGTTGCTTCATTTTACAGAGTTTGTATATTGGATTTGTAGAATTTTGTAGAATTTTACTTTGATTTCTCAATGATGATATGGCTGAGAAACACAGAAGCCATCTTTAATATTTAAATGTTGTAAGGTTCAGGAACTAGAATTTTGCAAAATGCTTCCTCAGCTCTGCATTCCATGAGAAGTTACTTGTTTAATGATTTTCCCGTATTGTGTATAAACTCCCTCAGGGGAAGGATTAGGCCAGTCTTTTCACAGTGGAATCTCCAGTGCCCCTTACAGTTCCTGATAAAATCTCTGACTTCACCATGCCCCCTGGGGATTACCTAACCAGCAATCCTCTGTTCATGAAATCTACAACAATATGAAATGCAGTAAAATGTAAATTATTTATTCTCAGGTGGGAAGTAATTTCACATTTATTATTTTTTAATGTGATGAAATGGATGCATAGCTCTCACCCTAAAACACTCATATCAATAGTGGTGGCTAAGAAGTAACCAAAACCAAATAGCATATACTAGAGCTAGTAAACAGCTCAATCCAGGCTGTTTGCTAAGTTGTTTAAATGTTAGTTCAATTGAATCTCCAAAAAGCACTTTATAAAAGGTATTAATAAGTGCGGATGAATGAAAGACTTCTGTAATTCACAGGGAATAAATTTATTTTCAAATTGACAAACAGCATATCTAGGTCTTTTGTTTCTGCTTCTAGAATCCTTACTCAGCAGTGGAGTGCCTTTTCCTTACTACGCTGGAGTCAAGAAGAGGACGGGTGCTTTCAAATTATTGCAGGTTTGATATCAGTGCAAATCCACAAACTAATATCAATGATTTCCTGGTCTCATAGTGTAGGCAACTGAGTTCATTTTTGGAAATCCTCTGTAGATATATTTCTAGGCATTTATCAAAAAAAATAGTAAAAGATATATCAACTGAGGTTAAAAATATCTGTTAATTCCAGGACTTTAAATAATAATGAAGAGTTAGAAACACACCAATCAACTGGTCGAATTATATTATTATTATAATTCATATATCAAGGAACATGACTTCATACTTAGGTTTTCTATAACTGTATTTGAGACCAAAATAATGTAATAGCATCTTTCTAAATGAAAAAAAAAGCCAATGTACATTACAAAAATTTGATTGAATGTCAGAATAATAATGTATATATATATGTATCTATGTGTGTATATATATATAATTTTTTTAAACTGGAAAATATATTTTAATGTATGGTTAACACTTATCATTTATTTGTGAGGCTTTGTGTCTGTCTCAGTAACTTTTTCTGCTGGAATAAATTACCCAACACCTGTATCTTGTAGGTGGAGAAATTTGTTTGGATCACGGTTTTAGTTCATGGTAGGCTAACTTTAAGGCAGAAACAGCATTGCAGAGTGTCATGATGGAGAAGAAGGCATTGGACCCATGAAAACCAGGAAACAGACAGATAAAGGAGGAGCCAGGACAGGAACGCCCCCTCCAGGCCCTGCCTCCTGCGAGCAGGCCCAACCTTCTGATTAACTGCACTTGGAGCTAGTGAACTCACTAGTGAATGAATCCACAGAGAAGTAAAGAACCCTGCAATCCAATCAGCTTCCCAAAGCCCTGCCTCTGACCTCATGAGACTTTTGGAGGGATATTCTAGATATATACTGTCATATTTAAAGTTTCATAGTTTTGTTTTCCAAATTCTCTGAAAGTTGGTCTTTATGGAGAGAAAAATTACAGGCAAGAAGTCCAGTCACGAGGAAGAACTTAGCTCTGAGTACACATCTCTCTGTTAAAACAGCGAGGGTGTAGATGTCTACAGGGCCATGGCCACAGCTGCTAATACGACAATCTACAGACTTTTTAAGTCACTGAGACTTTGATGCCGCCTTCTCACATTTTTTATTTCAAACAAAGCACATGTTACTCCTGTGGAAAACGTTATGATTTCTCTAGCGTGCTTTTTTCCTTCTGTAGTATGTTTCTCCACACTGTTGCTTCTTTTGGATTGTCCAGTGATCACGTCTCTCTAAAGTCTTCCTCAGCACCCCTGCTGAGGTTTGACCTTGACTCAGTCTAAAGGCTGGGCCTCCCGCGGCCTGCTCTGACCAGCACACAATGCCTCAGTGCCTTCCCTCTCCTGTGAAGCTCCTCTGTCTTCTCCACTGACCCTAACAAGTGCACCTTTAAGAAACGGCTCCAGCCACGAAGCAGCATATCGTATGCCTCTCACTCTTCTGTCTTCTAAGGTGGGTCAGTGTGGGATGGGGGATGAGAGGGGTGCTTTGCATTGTAGTTTCTACTGTGGTTTCTCTCTTGCTGGAGAATCTAGGGCAGATGAAAGGGTGAGATGGAGAGATGATTCATAAGCCATGATTTCCAGATTGTTTCAGGATAGGCAGAGCAGGCAGCTCTGGACATTGTGCCAAAATCTTGCAGTTGTCCTGAGAGTGAAGCACTCTACAGACAGTGTAAGGTCTCCAGCTACATCCCATGATAAACGGATCCCATCCGTTTATATAAATTACCTGCTCACCTGTGCTTCAGAGCAGAAGTGAGGTAAAAGCCTAGTGAATGGAGGGAGGGTCAGGTCACTGTCAGGAACTCAGAGAGTGTGTTTCTTGGTTAGGACCTGAAAGCTGAAGATACTGTTTCTTAGAAGTCAGCCCCAAGGAGATATTCGTTCACTGACATCTCCTTCTCTGTGTCTAAATTAAAATAGCTTGGAGCTCCTCATAAGATGGCATAGAAACATTTTTCTCTCTAGACAGTCACTCAGAATGTCACCAGGTAGTCTAGGGTTCAAATTCAGAAGGATCTCAGGAGAGTCAAGCATTCCTGCAGTATCAGGAATTTTTGTCCTGATCAAAAGAGCAAATATAGATTTCCTGGCTCTACTGAGACACTCCTGGTGGCCCCATATTCTGCTAGCTGTATTCTGTCTGTCTCTATCTTTGGCTCTGTCTCTGGCTCTGTGTCTCTCTTTCTTTTTCTGGTGTGTGTGTGTGTGTGTGTGTGTGTGTGTGTGTGTGTGTGTGTCTGTCTGTCTGTCTACAAGGTACCAAAGATTGAACCCAGGACTTCATAATGTTGAGTCAGTAGGGCGGGGTATTTAGCTCAGTGGCATAAGCGCCTGCCTGGCAAGTGCGAAGTTGTGAGTTCAATCCCCAGTACCATAAAAAAAAAAAAAGTACCACACACACAAAAAAAGTTGATTAAGTATCTCACATGAAAATAATAGGATTATGAGCATAGAATAACTTTTTTTGGGTACAGAAATCAAACTCAGGACCTTGTACTTGCTAGGGAGGTGCTGTGCCACTGAGCTGTATTCTCAGCCCCAAAATAACTTCTGATTTACTATTTTCCAAATAATAACAAGCCCATCACTGAACTCTGTATTTTTAGCCTTTCACTATTTAAGATGGTTTATCCAGGATTATCTTTTCCTACACACTTACTTTTGAATTTTGATTGTTTCTGCTTTGTCGGTTACACTAGAAGGCAACACCCTGAAAGAACACTGCAGAATCTAATTGCAAGAGAACACCGGAAGGAAGAATGGTCAAGTGTCTCCTGGTCCTCTGCTCACTTTTGGGCTTCATCATGGTGCATCCTGTGATACCTTCGGGTGAGTAATGTGGTGGGTCATGGCAGGCATGTAAGGTTGATCGTTTGGATTTGAAAATGCTTTTGGAATTTTCTAAAATACTATTTAATTAGATTACATAGTACATGATCTATACCTGCACATTCATATGCATATATAATCTATAAAATAAAGAGAGATAGTCTGCTCAAAAAGACAAGAAGACTCCACGTCAGTGAGAAGACCTTTGTTTCTCATCTATTCCACACAGATATGAGACCTGAAGGCTTGGGTGATACAGTGAGATAGCATATGAAAGAGTAAAGCAATATGCACAAAATAGGGCAGAAGCTTTGCCATACAATTAAACGCATCGTGCTCCCTGGTGGTCTCACTAGAGAAGAAACCAGAAGGGACTCACAAAGAGACTTGGCCCCAAGGATCAGAGACCTTAGATTTTGAAATATTTACAATGAGCCAAATATCACAATTAAAAATTCTAGCAAATTATCTCTATCTATTACTGGCTATCAACTCAATCTTTTCAAGTACAGATTGATTAGTGTTTATCAAAACAATAGTTTGGTACTGCAGGCTGGCCATCTTTATAAGAGTGGTTTTGCATTGATATAATTCCTTCTGATCATTCAGAGTAGAAGCAGTGTGTGTGTGTGTGTGTGTGTGTGTGTGTGTGTGTGTGTGTGTGTGTTAAGACGAGGTCTCACTATGCAGCCTAGGCTGACCTCAAGCTCATTGTTTCTACTGCCTTAGGCTCCAGAGTGCTGTGATTACAGGCATGCCCCAACAGGCCAGATTCCTCAATTAGAAAAAAAACGAATACATGTATAAATGAAACAATGCTTTCAGTTATTGCAGGATTCCTTGGTAAGAAGTTATAACTCTTTCATTCTGCCAAAACATTAACATTCTCTGGGGAATAGATTCAGTAACCATTTTCATGTTTTTTCTAGTTTCAGGTCCTCGAGAATGGTGGCCGCCACATGGAACTATTAGGGTAATCTCTCAGTACATGTCTCAGGACTGAAATTCTCATCTGTGTTTGTTTTATTTCTGATTGTTATTTCCGATTGTTTCCCTGGAACCTGATTGCCACAGATATACATCAAGACATCAAGTCATGTAAGGTTAGCAGGTATACTGTTAGTTTGGTAGCCAAAAGTAGAGTGATCCAGACTAGAAACAAAGCCAAGATTCCAGCACATGTACACCAGAGAACCCCACAGAGCCTGAAAACTGTTCGAGTCTGACACTTGCCAGGGGGATGACGGATTCTTAAGCTGCAGCAGACTTGGGTGTCACCACGTTCCCACTCTCAAACAGCCCAGCATTCGGAGCAGGGAATGGTTGCAGCAGGTGCTCCTGAATGTCCCGCGGAGTGGTTCATTCTGAACAAGAAGAAGAGCATCTTGGATGGGAGACTCAAACTAAGTTTGCAACTTACATGACAACAAAATGGAGATCACTGTTTCCTTTCTGCCTCCCTTCTGAGTATGTGCTGCATACATTATTTTGCCAGTAAATGTATGGTACCAAGTGAGGAAATGACGAGGCAGAGGTTATTCTTTTTATTTGGGTCTGTATTTGCTTCACTGTACTTCACTCTTTAGAAGTGTTAGCAATTTAATTTTTGACTTTCCAGTAAATATAACTTCAGTTTTCCTTGTTAGCAAGCCAAGCATGAGTTAATTAATGAGAAATATATATTTTTAGAGAAGTTTGGTGCTTGGGCACTGATCCTAGTGCAAAACCTATCAGAGGCTACAGCTCCAGCAACAGGTTATGGAGAATTTGTAAGGATTCATACTCTGTCGTCCGGAGCTCAGTTCTAGCACTGTCCTCTCCAGAAGGCTGACTGCAGGAGAATCTCTCCTTGCCTACCCATCCATTGAGAATAATTATACTTATCTTGTCTTTTTTTCTCTGCACGTCTCTCTGTCTCTTTGTCTCTGTCTCTCTGTCTCTGTCTGTCTGTCTGTCTGTCTGTCTGTCTGTCTGCTGCCTCTCTCTCTGTGTGTATGTGACAAGTAATCAAATCTGAATCTAGAGCTATATTCTACTTTTTTTTTTTTTTTTTTAAGATAGGCTCTTGCTAAATGTCCAAGCTGCAGTCTGGACTGCATCTGCCTTCCAGAGTGCTGACTTATTTTCTTTAAAGAATATTTACTGACTTTCTAAATTGAGTCCTGATTCCCAAGACGCTCCACCTGTCTGAGCATGCTTGTAAGTACACATTGTTTTGCTTTCGATTTTAGATCAAATGTCCTTACAAGACGGTGAACTTGAGTTGGCTCCGTGGCACAATCGACCCCTGTCCTTGGACAAAACAGCCCATCTGTGGAACCAATTCTGTGACGTATGACAATCCCTGCATCTTGTGTATTGAGAGCTTGTAAGTATTATGTGGGGCAAAGAAAATAACAATGGTTAAGATTGTCCATAGCGTTGAGTGTCTGCCTTTCCTATCAAATAGGTAACCTTGAAATCAGGAATTTGATTAAGTTTCCCAAATAATAATCAGCTCCCACTTAGAAAGGCACATGTTAACAGAAAGTCCCCTGGAAAAGAGAAGACTTTACTGAGTGATGTCCCTCAGGCTCTTTCTTTCTCTGAGCCCTCACCTTCCCTCCTGCTTGTTGACAGATTGCCATGTGATGTTCTTAAATACCCTTCATGTCCCCAAATTATTTTATTTCAGGACAAACTGTACTTTGCCTTCCCTTAGATGTTTTCAATCTCCTATTTATCTGAAACTCTGAAGTAGACTGAGATAATGGCAAAGTTTGTGTCCTTGGATTTTTAGGTTTACAAGACAAGAAATTAATGACATTGAAATTACACGTCAGTTTTGATTCCTCTATAAACCAGTGCATTTGAAGGGGAAAAAAGCTTTCACTGTGGCATCAAAGCCCTTAGCTCAAAAATTATCTTGTTTAGATTTTGGCCATAGAACAATGACAGCAATGTACAAATCCAAAGCCATCCTGCCAGTGAGTAACGGAGAGTCACAGGATGGAGCACTGACACACAGCTGAGGACTGATACAGAAATCACACACCAAAAACTCAGATCTGTTTAAATAGCTCATTTTCAAAAAGATCATGGCATATATCGTAACACCTTCAGTGGCATCTTAGAATCATGAAAAGGTGAGTGGGTCGGAGAATTAAAAACCTTACTTTTCCTTTTAGTCAGTGTGCTCTGTAATCTGGACATTAATCTCAAATATAAAATAAGAGAAGTAGATAATAGCACCTTGTAGTTCTGACATTACGTCATTGATCGTTTATTGTGGCTTTTTCTTTAGGAAATCCCGTGGAAGAATTAAGTTTCGCCATGATGGTAAATGCTAGCTGACCAGGCTCGGATGTGGGAGAAGATGATGTCTTTTTCTGTCCATCACAGTGTCTTCTCACTGTGCATCATCGCTCCTCTGTCCCTCCTTGCATGTATCCTGGTGACAGATATCTGTCACCACACAGCTGGCAGCAGGCAGCACAAGCTTCCTTCTCAGCCCACGCTTTCACTCACTAACTGACTTCCACATTTTCCCAAATAAAATAAGCTTTTTCTGTGCTTGTTCTGAGTTCAGTGGCATAGCATGCTGGAGGCCCTGGGCTTAATCTCCTGGATTGCAAATAAATCAATACAACAAATACGTGAACAAATTTTCTGAAGGTTTTATTTAACTTGTATCTAAGATCTCTTCATCCAATCTCCAAATGGAGCAAATTGCACACTTGAGCATCAACCAAAGGCAAACACTGGGATTAATCCTCTGCCTCGTGCTGTGAACAGTGAAGTGATCTATGCTAAGCCTCCAGTTGGGCTCCAGACAGCATGATTGAAATTTCTTCTGTATTTTCTCATCATTAAAATTCTTCTGCCAAGGGTCGGCAGTGTCCTCACTGTCCCTTTTCACATTGAGGCTCAGCCTCCAGCCAGAATCACTTGCATCTGTCTCACTTATTTCAGCAGTCAGTGCATTTTGACTGACCCCTCTTTCCTGCTTAAAAGGAAGCCCGCATGCTGGGTATGTATGAAAATTCGGTTGGAGACTTTTCTCAAATTCTCTAGACACATTTTAATCTCTAGTGTATAGAACACATTTTCTCTCAGTTCTGCCTCCTCTGGACACCCGTGTGTGCCTACACACGTGTGCTGTCCTGTCCCACTCAGTAGCTCGTTTCCTTCTGCAGCCTGGGCCACACCACTCATTCTGCTCCTCAGCAAAGCCTTGGAAGGCTGTGGTCAGCCGTGGTGGACACGTGGTGAGCACATGGCTCCCGGGAGAAGGAAATCACCTTTCATCACCTTTGATCTAGCATCTTTAGGGTATGAAGAACAAACAGCTCTGGAGCGAAAGAGAGATTCACTGTCCTCAGAGCGCACCAGCGTCCACTGTTGCAGGTACAGGGCTGTGTGGGAACGTAAGAACTCCAGAGAGCACTGCTTTGCAAGGCGATTGCTTTCATTCCATTTTCATAAATCCGTTGTCATACAATAATTGATCATATTTTAATGTCATCCAGTAGAGATTTCTTCTCAAGCAATCATTCCCACTAGCATTGCCTGTGATCTTACTGTCCCCTCCAGTGCCCGATAGCTGTGTCTTGGCTCTGGGCAGTTTCCTTATACACACATCAGTCACCACTAATCACCAATGGCTTTGGACTCCACACAGCCATCCTGGGCCACTCGGGCCACTCTGGGCTCTTTCCTTTGCAAGCATGTGTCCTCAGCTCCAGGGTGCTCCACCTGGGTACCTCTTTTCTGTATCTAGAATTTCTCACAGTACAGTAACCAAGGACAACTATAGAGTTAACTTATCATTTTTGTATCTCTTGGGTTTCAGTGTGTTTTAATGCTTAAAGCTCTATGTTATTGTTTCATAATTCTGTCTGACATTTTATTATTTTAGGTAGAAAAGAACATGTGACTTCTCTCACACCACACTATCCAAAAGGAACAATTTCATTCTGACATTGTGCTTATATTCTGATACTTTCTTAATCTACAGGAGAATACAATGTTGCTGCTCTTTTTGTAAGATTTCAAAAAGGATAAGACTGGACTTTGTAGTCATACAAATCTTTTTGGTGGATAATAAGCCATTTACTTAAATGTAAAACATACAACAAAAAATGGCTTTAATGTTTGTGTTTTGATTATAGGTTTTTCCGAGGAGGGCAAGGTCAGCATGTCTGTAAAGACAAGACTGTGTCCCAGAACAGCTGCCGAGCCTAATTTTCACAGCTGTCGTGCCACTGTGGATGTGGGTGCTCTTTCTTTGCAGCCCCAGATCTGACTCCTCCCCTCCCTCTCTCTATCAGTATCCAGTATCTGATTTGATTCTAACTTAAAGATAGTAGCTTCTATTTTTAGTATATTATTCAATATCCTTGGTTGATGCTCCTTATTTTTTGATATCTTCTAGTTGTTGATCAGTTCCAGGTTTTTCTATTCATATCTTCAGCTTAAGCATCCTAGACCCTTTTCTTGACAGTCAGACTCACATCTGTAATTATTCTACTTCCTACTTATCCCACACACGTCAGGATCATAAGGCCTTTTCTATCTTCTTAGCATTAGCTAATAAAAATGCTAATTTCACTAGCTTGGGAAATCTTTAACGTCGTTCTAAATCCCATATCTGTTCTGATTTTCTTTTTCTTCCCCCAAATGTATTTTGATGTAATGAAAGTTAATGCCATTCTTCCCTAAAAGCTGTCTCATTGAAACTCAAATTTGACATATAATCTCTGCATTTCTTAAACCATATTGTCAGTTATACCCACAAACTCTTGACTTTATCTAGGTTACTGTGTTTTTATAGGTTATTTCAGTGGTGATCTTAACTGTCACTTCAGCTTCCATAATTCTTTGTTCATTTTATAATAATTTAAATATAATCTGTTATAGTACTATTCTTTTTGAGTAGTAACACAGACTAATATCTTAGTGTAATTTGGAAGACAGTGGATTTGATCTGTTGCTTATACTCCGGCAAAGCGCAGCCTCAATCATAACAACTTGTCAGATCCCGATTTGTCCATGAGGTGGCAGTAAAGTATTGCCATTTAGACCAGTTTTGGAAAGATCTTTGGCCAAATATACTGCAGGGTTAGTGTTTCTTCACGTCTCGTGTTTGGTAGGAGAACTGGCTATTTCTAAATAACAGAATGTTTCTAACTCATTAATGAACTAAACATTAACTCTGTGGAGTTCATCTTTATTTTCTAATTAGATCTTTGTGACATCAAAAATACGTTAACACAAAGAAGGAGACTTCAGAAACTATTTTCCAAATAAAATTAGGAATGATCTGATTACAGGTTTATCAAGCCAAAAAATTTTATTGTTACTAAAAATAACAACCACACCAAACTCAGGTGATACTTAATTTTAATTTTTGTTACTATTATTCTTGAGAAATTATAATTACATGTAGTTATAAAGTCTGTGTGATACTCTGATATATGTATGTAATGCAGAATGATCAAATCAAGTGAATTCACATATTCAACACTACTTCCTTTTGGTGTAAAATATTTGAAACATACTTACCTATTTTTTATTACTTTATTAGTACATGTATGTTGTACATAACATTTACACTCCTTATGTGGAGTTAGCACATCAGGATGTATACAACACATCCCAGTTTGTTTTTTAATCTCTGCCATCCTTCCTTCGTCTCTTGATCCTTTTCCCCCTTGAGAAAAATTTATCTCTCAACTTCCCTGTTAACTATCTTTTATTTTTACTCTGGATTTCTCATATGAGAAGCAATGCATCATTTAAGCTTGGCTGTCTGATTTATCTCATTTAATATTTTATTTTCAAGGTGCATCCACTTTCTTACAAACAAATCAAGTTTATCTTTCTCTATGGCAAGCTCGTACTCCCTGGTGTGTGAATACCATGTTTTCTTTATTCATCCATCTGGTGATGCACATATTGGCTGCTTTCAAGGCTTAGCTGTCATGCATTGTTTCGCTATAAACGCTAGCATGCAGCTATCTCTAGAATAGGTGTCTTTTTTAACTCTTTTGGGAATAGCTGAGTCAAAAGGCATTTCTAGTCTTAGTTTTCCTAGGAATTGCCATACTGATTTCTACAGTGCTTGCACTAATTTACATGTTCATAAACAAGAAAAGGGCTCATTTTCCAAAGCCTCACTAGCAATTATTATTTGATTTACTGACAAAAGCTGTTCTCTCCCTCAATCTCTTAGTCCCTTCCCTTTTGCAAAATATTTATCTCCCTTTTTCCTACTATGTATCTTTTATTTTGTTTTTCTATTATATTTTGGGTTTATTATATAAGAAAACCACACAATACTCAAGCTTGTTTGCCTGATTCATTTCATTTGATTTTATAGTCTTAAGGAGCATTAATTTCTTCCACAGCTGACTCGTTTACCCTTCTTTATGGCAGAAAAGTACTCCACTGTGTATAAACACCATGCTTTCTTTATTCATTTATCTGTTAATGAACATATAGACTTCTTTCAAGATTTAGCTATTATGAATTAAGCTGCTATAGACATGGTTGTGCACATCACTGAAGTATGGATATTTCTCAAAAGGTAAAAGCAGAAATGCCACTTGACTTATCTAATGTGTGTATTTCCCTTCTACAAATCTTCCTGCATTGAAGACCATGTATTCCAGGTTGCGTATACTGTTATAATACAGTGAGTCCACTGTGTATAGCATATACTTGTACTAATGCATCGACCTCTCTGTATCTTTTGATTGAAAAAATATCATCCATTTACATTTAAAGTACTCACTCTTTGGAAAGGACTTGTTACCCATTGTGCAATTGATCTGATTGTTTTACAGTCGCTTTGTTTTTTCTCTTTTTGTCTCACTGTCTTCATTTTTGGTTTGGTGGCTTCTTCCTCTGCTAATAAGCTTTAAATCCTTACAAAGTATTTTTTCAACTGCTGTTAGTTTTTCTTTACAATGAACTTATAAAAAAACACCTACTATCAGGCTATCTTAAGCTGATAGTCTCTACACTTCTGTTTCTCTTCAGCTTATGATTTTGACATTAAAGTTGTATATTTTTAAAATTTACATCCCTCAAAAGTTATCATAGCTGTAGTTGGTTTTAACAGAATTATTGTATAGTTTTCATAAGAGACCTAGTTGATTTGTAAAACAGTATTACAATATGTGAGTATCCTGAATTTATTATATAATAATTGTATCAGTAACTTATTCATTTGGGTGTTTTCATGTATTTCCTTAAATGTCCTTTCTGCTTGAAGAACTTCCTTTAGTATTTCCTAGGAAGTAGATATAGTGTTGAAAGCCCTCAGCTTTTGTTTCTCAGGAAAGGTTTGATTTTTCACTCATTTCTGAAGAACAATTTTGGCAAAGAAAACATTCTTCATTGGAAGTTTTGTTTTATTCTCTCAAGACTTTGACTGTTTCACCTCACTGTCTTTCAGGTTGATTTTTCTTTTGAGACAGGATCTCACTGTATAGTTCAGGCTGCCCCTGAACTCTCTATGTAGCCCAGGCTGGCCTTGAGCTTGTGACAATCCTCCTGCCTCAGCCTCCCAAGTGCTGGTATTATAGTCATGAGCCACCATGTCTGGCCTCTCTATCTTTCCTATAAGGCTTTTTTTTTTTCTGGGAAA